ACTCTACAACCGTCCTTAGCCTTCTGGTTAAATCAGGAAAGTTCTAAGGTATAAGCGGGAAAAGTATCGAGTATTCTAGTCAATTCTAAAGTGACGTCTTTTATTATTTTCCGGACCCTATGGTTAGTGACGTCAGAGACCTCTTATACAATCCCTGTTCCGACTTGGTCCGTCTTGGTGTCAAGGAACCCTCTTGGTGGTTTTTATTTTCCCGTGAAGAGCCGGGACAGGATAGTGGTACGTCGGCGGCGTCAAAAATAAATCCAGGTGCGAATAACCTATGAGTCTGTTGGGGGCGCCAGGCCCGGGCCCCGAACGGTTCAACCAAGTTGGAACTTTGTACCGTACGGTACGGTATACGTTATCAGAATGCCGCATCAGTTGGTCAGTTGCAGATCGTGGTCAAACCGCGTCACAAAAACCCCAGGATTTTCCCACAAACCCAATGCACCGGAAAAACGGTTTACCGGGCAGGCGTTTTCTGCCACCCGCTGGTCATTCCGGCCCGATCGCGAGCCGCGCGAGAGGGGGGACACGTGGCGCGCTGCGGTTGGCCGGTTTTTGGCCAACGATCAGTTGGTTAGTTGTCGGCACGGCGGTTGCTGAAAAACACTCGAAAGTTTGGCACCGTTGGATTCGTAAAATGTTATCTGACCGCTTGAAACCCATGATATATCGTCGCGCGCAGCGCCAGATGATGCGGCGCACCCTCGATTTCAAGGAGTGCCCCAGTCATTTGCAGTGCTAGCGCGCAAAGTGCTGGGCGCTGACGTAACTTTACGGCAGTCGATATCGACGCTCGACGGCTCTGAATCGTAAAAATCAACAACTTGCAATCCTGATCGTCCGAACTTATTGGGGTCGACTGCGAGAATGAATTTATTTGCCCGGAAGTCCGGTAGTTGACCTAGAGCAATATTCAGCCAATCACAGAATTTAAAATGTTCTGCCGGCCGCTAGTGGAACGGGTGTCTTGGGGCTGCGTCGCATGCGACCGCTACAATTACATTTCCGCCAGATTGTGGTGGGTTGACTTCGGGTCAGGCTTTACGAATACGGTACGGACGGATCGTTGAGAAGGTACAACTTTCGACGGTGCGTTCGATAGCTGGCGGTGAGTCGTCAGATTTAATTCCAAATTAAAGATTTTAATCGCGAAGAAAAATATTGATAATTACCGATATGGTACCGGGTACTTCCAGTCTGCAATTTCAGTCATTAGGAGTCCTCGGTTGAGAATGTCGGAACCGCCAGATTCTAGGAGGACCCCCAAACCGCCAGCCACATTCTGGCGGTTTTGATGGTCCGATCGCGCGATCGAATTGTACTTTCCAAAATTTTGACCGAGTGGCGGTGGCATCCGACGAGGGTTTGGTCTCGGGACCGCCACATTGTCGCGGAACCAGAAATGTAGCGGTCGCATGCGACGTACCCCTTGGTCTGACCGCTTTTATAAGACAAAATCGACAATATCAAACGGCGCCCCGGCGACCGTTGGATACAGAAATTGATTGACTATGACCGTCCGATCTCTAGAAAGTCATTCAAAGACGACCAAATGACGTTGCATCATCATTATTTTCGGCGACTCGGACCCCGGTCTAGGTTCGACACGTGGTACTTTTGACACGCAGCCCAATCAAAACGGCGGATTTTACGTCCATGTCCCTATCCAT